CTCAACTAGACCATTCTACCTTGTGGAAGTTATGCCCAGAAAATCACCCCATAGTCAAGACACAAACCTAGGAAGTGAAGATGCCTCCCTTATGGATCAGGTCTAAGAGGACACCCTAAAGATACGCACATCATGAGAGTTGTCGGAGACACCATCGCTGGCCTTGAAATCTTTACCACTTAGACTCTTCCAAAGATAATGAACCCAAATCCAGGCCGCTTGGCCCTGAAACTTGTCCCAACGCCACACGCCGAAAAGCTACCGAAGACCTTGGGTTTACTACCACCCCACTATTTGGGAAACTAATTTTTTCCTGACTATCAGCCGCTTAGAAGGAAAGCAGGATTACTTCAAAAAGGCTCAGAAGGAAAATAAGATGATGCAAGGAACACGCCACCCAAAAAACTTTGCTACCAGGCTCAAAAACACCTACTCCCCTCCAATGGCACTCTCATTGTTAAGTTACAAATCTCTGATGCCATGGTGGGCAGAGTTCTGATCGATAACGAGTCAGAGGGAAAACTTCCTCTTCATGGGCGCAGCTAGAATGATGGGTGCCCTCAACAAAGTCAACTTTAAAATATCCACTATCCAAACTCTTAATGAAACTCCACACAATACCATGGGAACAATAAGACTCAAGGTGCAAGCAAAATCGTCTAAATATCTGATGGCCTTCCATGTGATAGATAACCTATCCCCCTATAACGCTATCATTGATCAAGAATAGCTGCACGTCATGAACATTATTCCCCCAACAAGTGATATCATGCCTCACTATCCAAGAATGGTGATGAACATGAGGCTAAACACTAAAGAAACAGAAGAACATGTGCTGAGAAGTAGAGCCCTAGCTTGACAGAATCAAACTCCTTGCTAACCATTCTAGGTAGCTTAAACAAGGACAACACAACACGAACTACACACGGTTTGATTCCCTTCTCGAGATATGTAGGCAATCTTCTCTAGACCCAATTTCAATGTCGTCATTAGCGCGAGGACAAGTCTATGGAGAACTTATCTCCTCACGCCCCACCATAGGCTTATCGTCAAAAGTGATCCCTAGTAAATTTTTACATCACATCATCTTTTTCTTAGAACTAACATTCATGATTTGATTCTCCATGTTGGAGATATATAGGCATTCCTTTTTGGATTCAATCGATGCCCTTGTCAACTTATTTTACCCTGGGTTGTGAATAGAAGAAAAGTTATCTACTTTGAATGATCGCTTTTTTTTTTTTTAATGATGTAGGGAGTACCCTACTCGTTTTATGATGCAGGGAGTACCCTACTCATTCCAAACAGGGCCTAAGCTTTGAAAAATTCATATAAACTCAAGTCTAAAAAAGTTCTCAAAGTTACACTGTAAAAGGAGCCTCCTTTAGCCCAATCTGTCTTGAATGGTTAGCACGATTGGTGGGCTACGAGCACAAACACATGGCACCTTGATCCAGAAGTCCAATACACCATCCGACCTCCAAAAAGTTTATACAACCAGCAAGGTTGTGGGTTATAACATTCAAACCCAAACTCTATGCCATTCGAGGGAATAGTCAAAATGGCAATTCAGATCATCCAAAGATGGCTCCATACTCCGACCCCAAGTACGACAATTTCTAACCCAAACCAGCATACTAAGCCAAGTATGTTCTACAACACCATGTGTTAGCAGGTTTGAAGGGGGCATCCATACTTGGTAATCTTTAAGAGGAATTTCATTCAAACAGAGCTCTAAATGTGGAAGTGCTTTGGTCAAACCAACTAAGGTAGTGCGATTGGAAATGCTCAAGTCTGACGTATAGGGTTTGACAAAAGGATTCAAAAGGTGTTTCCAACCCACGTGTTGACGACCATGTTTCCATCGAACTTTCATTTAAGATTCAATAGAAAATAACACGCAATTCGGGCTAGGAAAATTCCTTCCTTTAGCATCACGTTGCATATAGTAAGGCCCTTGACCCAATAACTAAGGTAAGGCATGAAATATTCAACATCTATTCGCAAATTGTCTTCAAGTACGGTTTGAAGCTCTTTACTCCGATATATGTGTTCCATTAAGTGCATAAGCAAAAGTTTTTCCATGAGTTTAATATTTAATTCTTGGTATCGGAGTAAGGTGGTATCCTGGATTTCGCGATGATAATACCTTATGAATGCTAAGTTTGGGAGGCAATGTTTCCCCCAATTAGCATGGCCAAAGGGTGCCTTTTTAGTTCTGTCTCAGGCCCACAAGCTTACTCGTATTCGGCTCTGTAACTTATTTCTCATATAAAGTTCATTTACTTTAGAGAAATTTTATGAGAAATTTATCGGGTTAAGATTCACTCATGAAGCGAGGAAATAGCAAAACAAATCCACATTGCAAAAGAAAAGAATATGAAGACGCAGAAGGAACATGCCCCCTTCTTAGCTAGGAAAGTCTCAAAGTTGTTGGTCTTCCACAACTTCTTTTCCCTTGGACATGGTAAAGGATTTTTGGGGATGTTGGGGTCCGGATCATTTTTAGATACAAACTTTTCCCGCTCCGACTCAAAATCTAAGATATTGTCCAACAGGTGTTGCGGAGGAGAAAAGTTTATGCGTGTGATCCCTTCTTAGATCTTGTGAATGTCCCAACCTTAGGGCATGATCTTGCTGGGCGTAACTAGTAAGATATCCGTGATCGTATGCTTCTTCATGCTCCTCATCTAGCGATTTCCCGTGCTTATCATGAAGCATTGATAGTTTTGAAGCATGCGTGTTAGAAAGTTGTAGGAGGTCTGTTATACGCTTGTTCTCTTTGCGATCCACCTCTTAGTGAAGTTGCTCGACCTCCTGTTTAAGAGTAATTCGCTCTGCCGCCCTCACACTATGCTCCGTAGCCAACATGCGCTCTAATTCTCCCTTGAAGATGGTCAAAGCTCGGCTCATGTCAATCATTGCCCTGGCCTTCCAATGTCAGCTTTTCTTTCGCCTACAGAAAGCCTTCTTGGTAATCATTAGCCTTCATCTCTTTGAGCATGGCAGCATCAATGTATTGGTGTATCTCTGCTTCATGGGCATCCTTCCAAGCTTGCTGCTCAGACTGTACCTTCTTGAGCTCTTTCAATTGGGACAACATCCGCTACTCAGCTAGCAGTTTCACCTCAATTCCCAGATCATAAGACCGCTCGAGTTCCCGAACTCGTCTCGCCTATTGCATAAGAAATGGCTTACAAAGCCTTTGAGTTTTTCTTCTAAAATTACAGAGCCTTGTATCTTGAAATTTCCAATTTTTTATTTCCCTTCATAAACTCTTCAAATCAAGAAATAACTTACTTTAGACCAACTTCAACAATGGCTTATAACCTAAAATTCCCTTCCCCCCCCCCCCCCAAAACCCACTCCAAAGAAGGCCAGATACCGGCCCGTTTTTAGGCTAGAAGTCATTATGGGCTCGTGTTCATGGAGATTTATTTGGACCGACCAGAACTGCTTCATTTTCTGGTAATTATATGTTGGTTCTTATAGATGACTTTTCAAGATTCACATGGGTATATTTTGTAAAGCACAAATCTTATGTTTTCTCCAAGTTTAAGGAATTTAAAGAAACTCTTGGCTCAAGAATCAAGTGATTCCGCTCTGATAATGGAGGATAATTTACCTCTGAAGTGTTCATGGAGTTATGTCGGAAACATGGCATAAAAAGGCAGCTATCATGTGCAAAGACTTTGCAACAAAACGGAGTTGTGGAACAGAATATTTGACTTCTTATGGAGACAAGTAGGAGCTAGATACATGCTAAAAATCTACGTAACGCCTTATAGGCAGAAAGTATGATGTGTGCTACTTATGTAATCAATCGGTTGCCTCTAAGTCCTAACAATATGAAGACTCCGTATGAGCTGTTATTCAGAGAAAAACCTAGTGTGAAGCACTTTAAAGTTTTCGGCTCAATTTGTTATGTCCGTGTTCCAGAATCAAGAAGAGGCAAGTTGGATGCAAAAGCCAAAAAATGTATATTTGTGGGTTATGATGAAAGAAAAAAAGGGTGGAGATGCATGGATCCTACAACTCATAAGTGTGTGGTGTCAAGAGATGTAGTATTTGATGAAATTTCCTCATTTACGATTTGTAAGATGCATTTGCAAGTGGAGAATTAATTTTTCAAGAAAGTGATGTGGTTGAGTTGCCTATATCTTTAAATCCTTCTACTATTGGTGGTGGTTCTCACGTGCAACAAGGTGAAGGGGGGAACTACTGTCCTCCAAATGAAAAGGTGCTGGAAGATGAAAGAATTTTACAAGACGAAGAAATTGAAACAAATCAAAGATGAAGACGAGACATCATCAAACTAGCTAGACATCGAGATGAGAATTTCACTAGCACATATTCTTGTTTCTTTGTTGGTCCATTTGAGGATCAAAAGCCCTTATGCTATGAAGAAGCTTCAGATTTTAAAGAGTGGAGGCATGCCATGGATGAAGAGATGAAGGCACTTATAAAAAATGAGAATTAAGTGCTTGTGCCTAAATCTAAAAATAAGCATTCAATTTCATGTAAATGGGTTTATAAGATCAAAAGGAAGGCAGATTGAAGCATAGACATATTCAAGGCCAGATTGGTTACTCATGGTTTTTCTCAAAGTTATGGAGAAGTTTATGAAGAGACTTTTAGTCTGGTTGCAAAAATGACCTTTGTTTGTGTGGTGCCCTCTGTTCGTATGGTGCTCTATTTGGCAGCTTCTTAAGGATGGAAATTATGGCAACTCGATGTAAAGAACGCCTTCTTATATGGTGACCTGGACAAGGACATTTACATGGAGCAACCAGCCAGCTATACTTCTAAAGCTCATCCCAATTTTGTGTGCAAACTTAAGAAAGCTCTTTATGGGCTAAAGAAGGCTCCGCGAACATGGTATCGTAAAATTGCAAAATATTTACAATTCTATGGTTACTCTACTTCGAACTTGAATTCTAATTTATTTGTTAAAAAGCATGGGGGACTTACACATGATTGTTTTTTTGCATGTAGATGACATGATTGTGACAGGAAGTGATGAAAATGAGATCGTAAAGCTACGGGCTAAACTATCCACTCGTTTTGAAATGAAGAACTTGGGTGAGTTGAATCACTTGCTTGGTTTAGAAGTGAGAAGTATGAAGTCTGACATATTTCTTTTGCAAGAAGGATATGCCAAGAAGTTGGTTGAAAGATTTGGGCTAAAGCTTTGCAAGAAAAGGTCTACTCCACTTGATTTGAATGAGAAGCTAAGGCGTAAGGAAGGTTCACTACTTCCAGACCCTAAGCCTTATCGTGCTCTTGTTGGTAGTCTCCTTTATTTGACTATAACAAGACCCGATATTGCTTTCTCAGTTGGGCTTGTTAGCCGTTTTTTGCAAGAACCTCGAAAACCACATTTGGAGGCAGCCAAGAAAATTCTAAAATATGTTAATTCTACACTTGATTTGGGACTCTTCTATAATGTTTTTTCATTTAATGGTTATACTGATGTTGATTTGGGAAGAGACTTGGATGATCGAAGATCTACATCTGGTTATATTTTTCTATGTAGTTTAGCCAGTATTTGATGGTGTAGAAAGAAGCAAGATTCAATGTCTCTTTCTACAACGGAGGCAGAGTACAAGGCTTCTACACTTGCTGCTCAAGAATGTGTTTGCCTTAGTCTACTTGTCAAAGATGTTTATAGGCCTACTCACAAGCCAACCATTCTTTTTGGTGACAATCAAAGTGCTATTAAGCTTGCATCAAATCCCGTATATCATGGAAGAACACAGCATATTGAGATTGAGCATCACTTTATTTGTGCGAAAGTTTTTGATGGCACTATTAAGACTGTGCTGGTACGAAGTAAAAAGAACGTTGCAGACATTTCACGAAGGCACTCTTGAAAAGACCGTTCGAATCACTTCGAGCTAAGCTTGGATTGATTTCCAAAAATGAACTTTAAGGGGGAATGTTGGGTATTAAAGTTGCTTTTTGGTAAATGAACCGGTGTATCACTTTAATCTAAATATCTTTTGCTATTCTCTATGTTGTTTTGTGTCTTGCTAGATTTATCTGGAATTATCTAAAGCCTAGTCTTTTGGGTCTAGACAATTGCAATTAGACATTAAATAGGAAGGCTGATTAAGAGAGTCCTTTGTACGCTTCTCATCAATATAGTGTATTTTCTGAAGCAGCCTCTATTTTTGAGTTCTTTTTTCTTGTTTGATCCTTTCACAATTTTGTGTTTGATCTTGGGCTAGATTAATCTCTGTATTTCATTTAATTTCTCACTTAGCCAGGACAAAAATTTTCCTTCACCACCGTCGGCATCATCAGTGAATCAAAGAAAGCAAAGAGAGTAGCAATACAAAGAGAGAGCAAAAAGCCTCATCATCATTATTATCACATCACATCATAGCAGCTAGAAGTTTCATACAACAGTAAACACATAAAAGTGCAATGCTATGCATAATCAAGAGTGCAATCATGCAATTATTACAGACAAAATAAAACTGCAGTACAGGAATCATCACCCAAAATCCAAATGATGGATGCCTCATTGCCAAGCCCACTCGTCACCACCGAGGTTCTCTTTACTCTTGCTATGTCTTGAGGGGTTGAAAAATAAGGTGTGAGTGGAACAGTTTTATCTCATCAAAATCAATCAAAACTAATAACCCCCGTTTTGAAATCACATATACAGTAAAACTACATACGTAATAATACTATAACAATAGTAGTCACATTTAATTCATCTCGCTTGTTATAACAATAGTAGTCTTATTTAATTCATCTCGCTCGTTATATCAAAGAAAGTAAAGTCAATCATATAATCAAAATAATTTGAATGTATATCAAGCAAGTGAAGTGGTGTCTACCTCATCATTAACTAGCACCTACTAGCAATTCTAGCCTCTGCTAGAAATATGAGTACTTGCAAGAAACCTACGACTGTAGCTAGCTATACGATATGTATGATAACCATGTGGTGAAAATAAATCACCAGTCGCAATATATCAATTTAATCTAATAAGTTATAAGCCTCGTCAAAGACTAACAATAATATTCATATGCATTGACATTTATTAATAATTTGAAAACATTTAATTCTGAAGGGATTCACTCATAAGTAGGCATGGGTTTGGTTCCATTTGTGATAACCCGTCCCTAATTTTACGGTTTTATAAATTTTGTTTGAGTGAATTGACGGAAATGCCCTAGATGCAAGGATTTTGGTTTCCATTAACCATTGTTTAGAGGGACGGATGAGAAGAGAAGGAAAAAAAAAAAAAAGAAAGAAAAGAAAGGAAGGGGGATGTTGAATGAAAGAGAAAAGAGAAAAAGAGAAAAAAATGAGGGAGGCTTGGTCAATGAGAAGGAAGGAGAAAATGAAGGTGACCAATCAGAAGAAGGAGAAAGGAGAGAAGAGAGGGAGGAGAGCAAGCAGCCAACTCGAACCCTTCCTTGACATGGTTCCTGTCCCGACTACATACCCGATTTTTCCTGCACGATTTTGGCGAAATTCCATCAATTTTTCGACGAATTAAGTCGATCTATCACCACCATTCATCAAATCTTCACTTTCCCTCCACTTTCCACCCAAACCCAAACCTGACTAGGTTTAAGCTTAGTTTCGTAGAAAACGAACTTGTGGGTTCCGTGAGTGTCTCAGCGGTGATCAACCGTTTCAACAACCATCACCGATGACCACCACCATAGTTCAACTTCTCTTGAACCCAAGAAAAAGTCCCAAGCTTTGGTTGGCACGGTGGAGCATCAGAGAAGGTGAATCAAAGCCCACTTATTTCTAGGGTTTTTGGCGGGTTTGAGAGAAATTGGAGCTTTTTCAGCCAAATTGGACTTGGCCACAGGTATAAAACTTTCTCTACTCATTGAGATCTTCACTTTTGTGAAATTTGGTAATTTTTGGAAATAGTTGATTTTTTCGGCGAGCCGGGGCGGCCAGCTGCCATGTGCGGCAACAACGCCTGGGTGGAGACCCCAGCTAACCATCCTAGGCTAATTTGGATGCCCTGAATCCATATTAGACATCTGATTGATGAAATTCCGTTATTTGGTTATATTTCTATTAAGGGTCGTCACTTGGGTATTATAGGATTCAACAATTCGAACATTGGATCGTCACCAAACTTTAATATGTTATGGTACATAATATTTGAGGACCCTAGAAACTTGCAGATCAAGAATCCGACGTACGGATCTTTTCAAATTGAATTTGTAAGTTAGTAAAGTAAAACGTTGACCTCCACTTGAATTGTGATTGGTGGAGATCCAACCGTCGGATAATGGTAAGATTTTAGTATGTTGTTTTAGAAGCATAATGTGGATCTTTGGAAGTTACGAATAAAATATCTGAGGTGTGGATCTTCCGGATCACGTTATGTAGGTTTGTAGACCCTACCATCGATCTTTGACCGACAGTTGACTTTTGGTCAATGGGTTTCAAATCATTCTAGAACGACCTTGGGGATGTATTTTATGTAAGTTACGTGTTCTATCGATAAGAATTTTGAGATGTGATTTGATATTTGTTCTAGGCGTCGATAGTTCGTGACGCCTTGATATTCATGCTAGAGAGTTGTAGCGTGGACTTCAAGTGAGTGGGCCTTTTGTTTTATATAGTATGTACATATTTATTAGTTTCCATTTATACATTGAAAGAGAATTTACTACGTATGCCTAACTTAGACTAATGCTTATAAGAATTAGCGAAATAACGAAAAATTACGAAGTGACCATAAATCCTACAGGATGCACAGGTATGCGTATGTTTATTGATGCTATGATTATACCTACAACTATGAATGATAGTATGTTGATTAGAACTATCGAACCATTATGGCATGATTGTATTTATGTAGTATGCTTATCATTGCTGCACCCCGATGTTAGTGCTTGCCCAGGGTTAAGGCTAATATTTCACGTGTATGTTCACCACTGCATCGCACGCTCGCCTTGGATCCAAGTAGGTGCCAATCCTGTTGTACAGTTTGCATTAGGCAACTCTAACTCGTAGGTGACCGCAAATAGCGCCAGTCTTCATGTGATTGTAGCACTAGAGGGTGTATTATGATTACGCTTAGTCCTGTCGTACAAGTCGCATTAGCTAACTTCGACTCGTGTGCTAGCATAGATTGATGAGCATCAGTTCAGTCATACAGGTTGCTTTAGGCGACTCCGACTTGTGTGCTAGCATAGATTGATGAGCACTTGATTTTACTTATATTACTACTAAGATTTTGTGATTTTGGATGTCCTGCCCTTAGTTACGAGATATTGTACCGTAATGAATTCTTAAGATTTTGCAGGCTACGGTAAGTATTTTTATACTATACGTAGTAAGTATATTTTTGCAAACTATACTTGTTTTACGGTGAGGGGTTACAATGTTTTTAGAAAGGTTTTTATAAAACTTTATTTTCAGGCCCGCTCACCTTTGTTTTTCGCCCCTACAGGTTTTAGCAGCTGAGCTTTCTTATCGACGAGGATTCTTGGCAAATCTTGGTGTAGATGATTACCTTTGAGGGTATAATTCTCACCCTATTTTACTGTACTGTACTTATGCTCTGTCATCACGTGTGAAATGGGTTCATTCCTACTCACAGTGGACTCTTTAAATTAGGTACTTTTAGGTTTAAATTGATTCACATATTCCACTACACTACACTTTATGGCTTCATCACCTTCTAGGTGTTCGCCAGCACAGCTCGATTCGGAGTCCAAGTAGGCAATCAGGGTTGGGGTGTGTCACCATTTGGTTCGGTTTTTAGTCAAAATTAAAAACCAAACCGAAATTACTATTCGATTTGATTTTTTGTCAGTTTTGTTCGGTTCAGTTTTTTTTTTTTTTTTTTTTTTGGTTTTAGTCCGGTTCGCTATTTCCAAGATTTTTTTTTTTTAAATCTTAAAATTGGTAAAGAAGCAAATCTAGAAAGAAAAACATCCGCAACCCAAGCACATACTCGATCAAGCCATTATCTTAATTTACAAATCACAACAACAAAAATCGAACAATATCGTCTGCAAATCTGCAAAAATCGAAAAAATAAATAAGAGAGATTGGGGAGCTTAGCCTAGAGTGAGAAGATAGAGAAACGGAGCGACAAATCCGAGAGTGGTGAGAGAGCGAGACGATGAGAGTGAGCTGTCGAGACGAAGGGAGGGCGAGTGGGTTAGGGGTTGTGGTCCTTGTGAAGATGAAGTGAGAGCTTGGAGAAAGGGGGTCAAGGTATATTAAGAAAGTGGATTGAGGTTTAGAGAAAGATAGAAAGAGAATAGGAGGATAAAGATGGGGGATGAAATATCATACTGCAGCTATAAACTTTTGATGATTAATGACTGATGAGGAGGGTTTTATTAACTTTAGAAATACTATGAAGACTATAGATTTAGATCAGTATAAATAATTTACTCGTACAAACATAGCAAAACAAAACCTGTTTCCATGTTGGGTTAAAGTAAACCTTTCCAAGCTTGAGGGCAAGCGTTCCTTGATTTTTGAGTATTTGTATGGTTTTCATAAATATAAATATTATATAAAAAAAATTAAATATATATTGGT